AGAGATCCTACAAACGAGCCCATTGATAAGTGGTGGTCAATATATACACCGAGATTCCTGACAACTTCTTTACTAGATGTCATATGCCCATATAAATCAAAGTTGACACTTTCCAGATCTTTATTTTATCGTGGATTTTTTATAAGAATGGTGTCTGTCTTTTCTTCGTTTAGTTTCAATTTGTTTACTGTCATCCAAGTTTGTTGTTGTTGTTGTTGTTGTTGTTGTTGTTGTTGTTGTTGTTATTTTGCTTTGTTTTTTTGGGCTTTTATTTTTTTAGGGGTGGGATAGGTTTGCTTGGTTTTTTAACATTTGTTTCAGATTGTTGTTGTTGTTGGGGAAGGAAATTGCAGAAATGTACTAAGGGATATAACTGAATAAATTTAGTATAGAATATATATTTTAATTGATTGTTTCCCTTTTAATGAAAACAATCACTTTCTTTGCGGTGTCAATAGAAGTCCCACTTCAAAAAGAGATTTTATTTATAATTGATTTATAATTTTAAGGATTCTACGATTACAGTAAGACTTTGCAGTGATATATTAAATTGAAACAGCTACTATTCATGGGATAGACTCTGTTGTCCCCTGAACGATCGGAACCAATAGATTAGTCTTGTTTCGTATCTTTCTGAGTCGTTTGGTTCTGGAAATGCCACTTTGGCGGTGAACTTTGTGTTTATAACAAAAACAAAAACAAAAATTTATTGTATCTGAAATTTTGAGATTGAACCCTACCTAATTCAGATCTTCCTTATCTATTTCTTGCTGGCCTAAGTATTTTATTAAGGTCAAAGAGATTTTGAATTTGTGCAAATGAGTTGCTGTCTTTCCCTGTCTTTTCATCTTTGCATTAGTGAGGCGCCCCCCCAACGTCACTCACGCACCCACAGATATACTCATACACCACTAATTGCATCAATATATTGCTGAGCAAAATGTATTACAATGTATGAGTTCCTATACCAGTGCCAATACAATTTTTATGGATGTGCGTCAGTTTCAAAAGAATTTCACTCCTAAGTTGTCAGAAACCGGGCGTATTACTTCCTAGTTTTTGAAGTTTCGTACAACCAAAATGGTTGCCTGTTAAACAATAACAGTAGGCTTTTAAGATCTATTCGTCAGCTGGTTTTCTCGGTTTTTCCAGTCACTAACCTTCATATTAGTGTCTGAAGAACTTGTTGTGCGTTGTTGAATGCGAGAGAAAAGATCCAAGTTTGCATATGTCTTACAGTAAGGCTTAGATCTTAGATCTATAATTGATATGCTTTCTTGCTGTTTTGTGACTTTCTTCTGTGAACCAGGAAACTTACTGATGATGATGAGGATGAGGAACTCCTTGGGACTTGGGCCTTGGACTGATGAGATCGAATTAACAATCTAGATCTAGACTAGATCTACATCGTGACACTGCCCTGATACCCCCTCATAATTTTATCGGCCGTAATTTTATATTACGTCACAGGGGAATGCCACCCTGTAACTACTGTAACCCACCTTGTTTATTAAAATGAATTATCACGACCCATTAGCCTATGTTTTGAAAATGGCCGTCTTTATTCGGACTCGAGTTCGAATAAATTTTTTTCATATTCTGACGAGTCCGAATATGAAAAAGGTAGATCTAGATCTAGTGTCAATTGCCACCGAGTGACGCGGTGGCAATTGACAAAAATTGATTTTTTGTCAATTGCCACCGAGTAAATTGGAGCTCTTTTGCGTTGGTGGGTAGATCTAGCTTATTCTGCTCGAGTGCTCGATGTTGTGCGTTCGCCTCTCTGTCCGTCTTTGTGCGTGTGTTTGTGTGTGAGTGTGTGTGTGTGTCTTTTCCTGACCCCCCTCCTCCGATTTATGAATTTCTGCTGGAGTTTGTGCGCTTTTGTGACCTTAGAACTTCTAGAATTGCCTGTGTTGGTTCTACAGCAAAGTGTAGGCTAAGGCTAGCCTAGGCCTAGATCTAGGCCTACGTCTCATTGAAAACACGCCAAGTTGGTACCGTAGCTCAGCTCTAGGAGGTAGTCTAGACTAGATCTAGACTTGTCGTCCAATGAAATTAGTTGAGAACAAATTGACCCATTAGACACACATACATTATGTATAATGCTAAAGATAGTGTTGTTTTCAGACTTGACACCGCGTCTCTCGGTGGCAATTGACACTATCTATGAAAAAATGTTATTCGGACTCAGGTCCGGAAAAAAGGAAGTGTCTTCGTTCTATTGATCTAACGTTCAGTGCTTCCAATTTTCCGCCATTTTTTAGTTTCCCCCACACCTTTTCTGCCGATCCGATGCCCGTCGCCTCATTGATA